TGAATTCTGGGAGTTGAAGTCCACACATCTTAAAGTTGCCGAGGTCGAGAAACACAGCATTAGGATATACATATTCATACCCACAGACTTCTGTGATTGGAAAAGGATTAATCTCTATATAAAATACAGTAGGAATTCTACACGTTACTTCTGCTGCATCAGTGAACTAGGTTCTGTTGTCCACACTTTGACAGACTATGCACAACTGAGATGCTTGGTTGTACAGGCATCCAAATAATATAGAACTACTACATACAAAAACTGTTCACACTTACAGGCTTCTTTTCAGATCATCATGTTCAAAGTGTGGATGTCACAGGACAGGGGTAATCCACTGATGTCGCACCAGAGATGTGTTCAGCAGTATCAGTGCATGACTATCTTACAAACAGTATCATATGAACAGAGCTGGTGTTTAGCATCACTTGGGGAGAGCTGGGATCAAAATGAAGTCAGTTATAAAGTCAGTTCCTGTCTCCATGCCTCAAGCTTCAGCTTAGATATCAGGGCTGGGCAAAAAGAAACCTAATCATTTTTGCACACTAGAATGTAAAATACAAACGTATTCAAAACATCACTGTAGTGAGAAGAGATACCTTTTTATCCTGCAAAGATGTTGCATTTTCTCCACTATTCCGTAAAAGATCCCTGGATGTATTAATGTCCGCCTGTATTTACAAGGAAAACTGCAATAAACTCATTTTTTTTCTATAAACAACCATTCATCTTCTTGTGATGGAACCAGTTTCCCCCTGAGTCTTTTGTGACACAAAATACAGTCAACCAGTATTTGGCATGGGTTTCCTCCACTCTACCCCCAGAAGCGGAGGGTGAAATGAGAAACTCAGAGCAGCTTCTAGGACACAAAGTGATCCAGAAGAGAGCATTGGGGGAAAGGTATTCATGCAGAGAATCTGTTTCAACCTTCTCTAAACACGTTCACTGGCTATTAAATGAACAACACTACTTCTTTCCCACTGGTGACTGGATGCTTTCAGATGAGCACAAAAATATATTAAATAGAAAAAGCGGAAGCAGCTATACCTTAGGTTTTGATTGAGAAGTGCAAGGTGCCTCAGTGCTAAAAGCCACAGATTTGCTCTTTTTTGGTGACAGCCTGAATTGGGTACAATGCAGTGGTTCCCTCTATGTGTATTGCAGGCCAAATCACATGGATTAATTCTTTCTTCAAAGTATTTGTTGTTACACACATCATAACGCTTTGAAATTATTTTTTTCCTTAAAATAGTCTTATAATGACTGAAAAGTTGTAGAAAAGTAATACATACTACATTAATGATCATTTATGTCCAAGCTGCCTGATTTTATTCTTCCATTTGCATGGCCCTTGTGGCTGCATTTTGTATGTTATCTGAATCAGGAAATTGTTACAAATTATTCAGGTTGTCTTAATGATATAATCTGAAACTATGGTTTGGGTTTGACTTATCTAGCTTTTGCTTAGTATGACATCCATTGTCAAACTAATGCCTAGCTTATGGTCCTTGGCGCTCCAGGGAAATGAAACAGGTTGCAGGAATAGCTAGGAATTGCTCCAAAAGCCATATTTACACTGCTCCACTTCAAAGTTTACTTCTCCTTTTCCATTTGCCTGGGCATGAAAGGATTTTTTTTAAAAAAGGGTTAGGAGAAGCATTAGTTTCCCCACATCCTATGCGTAGCGGCTCTGACTCCAAACAGAATATTAATCGCCTTGGTTTGATTTTGGAAAAAAAAAAGCAAACAGACCAGGTAATGTTGCTCAGTCAAGCTACTGTAAAATAGCCAAGGAGAGAAGACCAGCAGGCTGCAGCTGATGCAGCATCTATAGGTAGTCCTCGCTGAGTGGCCACAATTGGAACTGACAACTCCATTGCTAAGCGCCGCAGTCACTAAGCAGGAAACCACGCAACAGTGATGGGCTTACGACCTCACTTCCCATTCAGTTGTTAAGCGAAACATCACATGACTGTGATTTACATTTTACTTCTGCTTGTCGCAAGCCAGTTGCAAAGCACACAAATGGTGATCACGTGACCTTGGGATGCTGCGACAGTCATAAATGCGAGGATTGGTCACAAAGCTGTTTTTAGCACTGTCAAAACTTTGAACTGTCACTAAACAAGGCAGTCAGTAAGCAAGGACTACCTGTATATTCTTAGTAGGTCATACGGACATGCCCACAGAAATGCTTTGCTCTTCCTAGCCTGCTTTCAAGTTTCAAGTCAATGTCCAAAGCTTAATTAAATACAGAGGTTCCTTACCTCACGTACAAATACAACCAGGGGGTCCAAAATTTCTATCCAGTGCCTCAGCCTTTGGGAAAAAGTCTAAAGAGAGAGATTTAAAAGATACCTGAGCTTGAATATATTTTTGCAGTGACACTTTCTGAAATTATTCAAAATTGGAGCAACATAAGCCCTAGCAGTTTTAGCCATATCTCAAAGCCAAAGTTGTTCTCCATTACATTGAGCCTCTGCCTCTTTGATTAAGCAACATACCCAGCATAGGTAAGTCACCCATGAAAAGCACACCCCCACAGCCCTCTGAAACTTCATGCTTGATCTTTCTGGCATTTGGTTCATGGAAACCCAATAAATCAAATAAAGGATCACACTCTTTTGACAGGAAAAGCCAACTGAGAAGGGGGGTGTATTTTGACATAAGGGGGTGACATGGTGGGGAAGATGGGGCTAAAATATCCATTCATTTGTGAGTTTGGGGAAATGCTGGGAGGGTTATTTTTAATAGAAACATTAAGCTTATCCACTCTTACTACAGTGTTATTTGCAAAAACAAATTCAAATAAAAGTCATTTCTACTAAGCCACACACCTACTCTGTGATCCTACTAGACTTATTGAAAAACAACTGGGCAAGAAGTACAGCCCCAAATGTTGGGCTGTGATCCAGAGGGCAACCCAGAGGTTAAAATACAAATATCTCACACAATTGAGGGCATTCAGCCTGCCACTTCTTTCTCCTCTCAATTTTCTCGATAGCTGGCAACACAGAAACCCTGAGTACATTTCAGGAGACCCACAGTACAGCTGAAAGGGATATTTCTTTTGTTTTTTCACCCACCCTTAATGCATGGTGTATTGGTTGCACTTAAGAGCACACACATCCAGAAATTATCCCCCTTCCTTCTGCTTCCAAACATTATTTGCAGCAGATACCAAGAACTCTGCAAAGCAGTCTAAGATAAATTGCATGGCTTTCAGGACCAAATTTTCAGATAAAATCAAAGAGCATTCCTTCTCTTTAGAGAGCCGCGAGATTATGCCCTTCCAAGAGAGGGGCCAGTTGAAAGGCTCCGTGGTTGCAAAGTCAGAGGGATCCCATTTAATCCTGATAATAACCAGATACGCAGGGTGTCATACTATACCCATTAAGAAGAACGCATGGCCTATTGAAATCAGGGTAAAGTTTAATATATCTAGCGAGCAACTTTGAAGAAGGTCTCATTTATTACACTGTGTTCTAATCACGCTGGATTTAATCATCGCTTAACGTTCTACAATGGGATTTTCGTCCTTCTTGTTGTGCGGCTTTTCCTTCCTAGTTTTACATCGTTTGCTTGGGTTACGGCGCATTTTGCCGGATCAAAGAAATAACGCCTTCCACCCCACGCGCCAACTTTCCCTGCATCTGAATTTCCACGCTTCCTCGGCGGAATGGCTGTGGGCGAGGGCGAGCGCTCCCCAGGCGACCATGTAGTCCTACGATCGCCCTTTGGAGGTCGAATTTTTTTTCCGCGCGAGCAAAGCCTTTCTTCCGCGGAATCCCGCCCCATTCATCTTTCAACCTCCGGGCTGCAGTAGAAAGCTTGTCCCACCCCTTTCCGACCACGGCGTAACGCTTTACAATGTAGCCATACTTGGCCCTCGTTTCTCCAGAACTGCAAATTCAAATCCATGATGTTCCGACGGCCGCGCCGGAAAGCGTCTCTTCCGGAAAACGTCGCCAAAGACACCCACCCGGGGAGATCTCTCCGCGACGCGGGATCAACCCCTCGCCTTTGACGTCATTCACACTCACCGCTGCTCGCTTCCTCCTGGGGCGCCGATTCGTTCTTTGCAAGGGCTCTCCAAAAACGCTCCCATTTTTACCGGACAAGCTCGTAACCCCGTGGAGCGAGTCAACCCGTTTCCCGGACTCCGGAAAAGGGGGAATAGCCAGTGCAGACCCGCAGGACGGAAGGAGAGGAATGACAGTCCTTTATAACTTCAAGGCTGGGAGTAATTACAGGAGTACCCTAACCCAGGGTTCCTCAACCTCAGCAACTTTAAGATGGGTGGACTTCTATGCTGGCTGGGGAATTCTGGGAGTTGAAGTCCACCCATCTTAAAGTTGCTGAGGTTGAGGAACCCTGCCCTAACACATTACTCTTGCATTTATTTTTGAAACCAACCACGACCATATCAAGACTGCAGTTTTTCTGGGTTCGCATAACTTAGAGAATCGGCAGTTGGTCTAATGCATGTGCTGGGTGAATCTCGCATGTGATGATGACTGAGTGCGGTGCAAAGTGAACATTTCTGGTTCGGATCAGGCTGCGCGCTTGCTACTTATTGGACCACAGCACGGCATGTACAGTACATTTGCATCACACTTTAACCCATGATTAATTGAACCACGGTTGGCGCAATACACTGAATTAGAATAGAACAAAGGGATTGGATTTCCACAATCTAGCCAAAGGGCTGTTGTGCCATCCCAGCCGAGAAACAAAATATTTTTTTTTTAAAAAGGTCCTGCTTTTAAAATGAAAGAATATCTAATTTTTACAAACTGAATAATTAACTGTACCTGACACACATATATCTGGACATTTTGTACTGAGTTGATTCAGTAAAATCAAGGTCTTTTAGCTCAATGTTACCTAAATGCAAATAGCGTTCTCTTAGTTCAGTCACCATCATCTTTGTTAAAATTTGTATGCTGCTAAATCATCCAAGCTCATTTATGTTCTATTTTATGTATCTAGAATGTACTGATAGGAATACTGTCAGAATCCTCGCAAGATTTTATAATAGATTATTAGATGGCTAGTTTAAAAAATGGTTTTTTATATGCTGCGGTTCTGCCATTGTAAAAGTGGGGTGGGGGAGTAGGAATGAGAAACCGTTTAAAGCAGATGGCTCCTTATCACAAGCTCTGGCATGCTCAAGGTCATACCAGCAAGAGAATCAGAGAGCCAAGAACTAAGGGTGATGTAGCGGGGGGAAAGTAAGAAAAACAGCTTTTGGCGCGCTTTTGATCAGTCTTAGCAATGCTTTGGATCTGTACACTTACTCTCAATAAATGAAC